CCTTAAGCACACAGCTAAAATAACGAAGGAGTGGCTTCACAACAACTCTGTGACTGTTCTTGAATGGCCCAGCCAGAGCCCTGACTTAAACTCAATTGAGCATCTCTGGAGAGACCTAAAAATGGCTGTCCACCAACGTTTACTATCCAACCTGACAGAACTGGAGAGGCTCTGCAAGGAGGAATGGCAGAGGATTCCCAAATCCAGGTGTGAAAAACTTGTTGCCTCTTTCCCAAAAAGACTCATGGCTGTATTCGATCAAAAGGGTGCTTCTACTAAATACTGAGCAAAGGGTCTGAATACTTAGGACCATGTGATATTTCAGTTTTTCTTTTTTAATAAATCTGCAAAAATGTCAACAATTCTGTGTTTTTCTGTCAATATGGGGTGCTGTGTGTACATTAATGAGGAAAAAAAATGAACTTAAATGATTTTAGCAAATGGCTGCAATATAACAGAGTGAAAAATTTAAGGGGGTCTGAATACTTTCCGTACCCACTGTATATATATATGTTTTTTTTTTTTTTTAATTTTTATTATTTTATTAATTTTTTTATTTACAAAATGTTTGCAATTAATTAATTATTTATTTTATTTTATTATTATTATTTTATTTTTTTACCTTAGTGCTCAAAATGTGCTTGCAATCATATTGTTCTTGCATCCAAACAGATTCTACTGCAATCCTGACTACATTATTATAGGTTTCTCGGTGTCTCTGTGTGCTTGCATGAGTATGTGAGCCTCTCAGATCAAGTCAAACAGCTCTAACACATCTTCATTGTCTCATACACACACAGACAGTTTGAGAGAGTTTCTTTAAGAAAAGTGCCTCCTTCGGCAAGGACTTTGAGTGGGATTTAAACCACTATAATCAGTCCAAATAAAATTTCTCTGGAACATTAACACATTTTCCAATGGCGCACTGAGCTTTTGGAAAAACAATAGCAAGTTACAAAAATCCCTCATATTCCTTTCTCTTCTTTCTAGATGCGTCTTATGATGCTGTACGGAGGGCAGGCTGGTCAAACAACATGCACAGCGGCAAAGGTGAGCGTCAGACGTCCATCTAGAGTCATTGACTGAAGTGGTCAGACAGTGTTAATCTGGACAGTAATACTGAGCGTCAGGAGATGGCTGGTATTTAGTTTAGGGACACTGAAGAGGCCCATTAAGTGCTTAGCAGTTGGGCCAGCTATTGCCCATGTTTTCTTTGGATGAAGACTTGTGCGTCTGCTCGCCCAGACGAATGTGCTTAGCTTTTTCTCTCTCTCTCTTTCTTGCTGTGGCGCTCTTTCTCGCCATTTCTCAGGTTCTCCTACAGTGGTCTCTCAGAACGTGTCCAAGAACAGTGAACAGGCTCGGCCTCAGCCCGGTAAGCAGGAATGCTCTGCCACGAGCACACGCATGCGTTCAAAAACATATCATATCTGTGCATTTGGAAAGACCAGTTCAGCTACTGTCTGGAACTCAGGTTCAAGACTTTTAAATTGTGGCATTTGTCCAGTTTAAAGGTCACATCTAGATTAATTTCTCTCTGCTTTCAGATCCTTACCAGATATTAGGACCCACTAGCAGTCGACTTGCCAACCCAGGTAACAACATGAAATCTTGCTATTTTTAAGCTGTATTGTATTTTAGAAAACCCTTTTAAATTTAGGGAATTATTGTATTAAAATATTAATATTTCATTAAAATTCTGGCCAGTAGGTTATTTTCATGTTATGACCATTAATTAAGAATTGGTTGATTCTATACTATTTGTGTTCTATAAAATTTGGTCTAAATAAACTAAAAAAAAAAAACACTAAATGTGAATTTAGGCATTCATCATTTATAAAAATGGACATTTATTTTTAGTTTTGCTAAAAATTACATTTGTTTTTAGTTAAATCACTGCAAATGAAATCTATGTCTACACTGAAAAGAAAATCGGTTTGTTAACAAACTAAAATTAAAACTAAAACTAAAACTAAAAAAAAAAAAATATTATTTGAAATAATAAAATAAATGTTATGTTAAATTAAAGAAAAAATAATAATTTCAAGGTTGACAAGGGATCTCATTTTATTTTAGTTTAACCTGAAGTACAAAAAAACAATTTTTTTTTAAAACAATAATAGACATAACAAATCTAATAAAAATGACAAAAACAGAAAAAAATTACAAAAAAAAGATAAATATGCAATATTGTAATGGCAAATATAAAAATAAAAAATGAATTAAAATTAAAATCATAATCAAAATAAACAAATTAAAAATATATAATAGTATATCAATTATGCTAAAATAACACTGCTCAGAAATTGCTAGTGAATTTCACAAATAATTACCAAGTAACATTTTGAATTAAATGTAAAATCTTTAAGTAGAACGATTGAAATATATATATTTTTTTCATAAAATGTACTCCAGTAATCTTTGTTTTATTTACAACTTTGAAAAATCTTTTTTTTACAGTGTACTGATAAACTGATAAAAAAAAAAAATAATAATAAAATATCAGCCAATAACCAAAAAAATGGTAGTGATATATTTACATTTTACATTTATGAATTTGGCAGATACTTTTATCCAAAGCAACTTGCATTGTATTGAAAGTACGCATTTTATCAGTTTATCACTTTGCCTGGGAATCGAAC